GGGGGAACCCGGGTAATGACTCGCCGCCTGGCTTCCTCAATGGCCAGCTTCCAGACCAATCAGGAAGCCGGGGCAGTGAGTCATTACACGGGGGCCCGGCTTTCGGGTTGGTCGGGAAGCCGGCTCCATCTTCGCTAGTCACCAGGTGTTGAGGACGCATGGAGCCGGCTTCCTGATTGGCCGGGAAGCCGACTCCATGCATCCTCGTCACCAAGTGACGAGGGAGCATGGAGACTGTTTCCTGGCCAATCAAGAAGCCGGGCAGCGTGTAATGACTCGCTGCCCGGCTTCCCGATACTGGAAGTTGGGGTATCAGGCTAGGCATCGGACCGTATACTCGGTATTGGCACTGATAATAGTATTTGTGCATCCCTACCCTTTACTTTTGGAGGGATTTCCTCAGCCGTGTCTCTCTAACATGAAGAGAAATCTCCCCAATGGAACACAGACAGCAAAAGAACACCAGCAGGGGATTGAACCATCCCTACTCTGCCCATACACCTGCCATCGAACCGTCCCCACTCTGCCCGTACACCCGCCATCGAACCGTCCCCACTCTGCCCGTACACCCGCCATCAAACCGTCCCCACTCTGCCCATACACCCGCCATCGAACCGTCCCTACTCTGCCCATACACCCGCCATCGAACCGTCCCTACTCTGCCCATACACCCGCCATCGAACCATCCCCACTCTGCCCATACACCCGCCATCGAACCGTCCCAACTCTGCCCATACACCCGCCATCGAACCGTCCCTACTCTGCCCATACACCCGCCATCGAACCGTACCCTAAGTTAGGTACTTGGAGAAATGTATCTAAACCCCGAGAAGCAAAATGGGATATATTGCAGCTTATCAGTCCTGAGATGTGGCTGTAATCCCCCACCGTTAGTTTCTCCTGGCTGTCCTGCCTGCAAAACAATTCCTGTCCTTGGGTGACAACGCTTAAGCAGCAGCCGTGAGTCAGGACTACAGAACACATTTCCCTCTCCATAACCTTGGAGGGTTCAGAAGTCTACAGATAACAGTGAACAATGTAAGTGATAACAGTGCGGCCCAACAGGTTTGTTCTTTTTTTCCACTTATAAAACACTTTCCATTGTACATGGTAACAAACAAACAGATCAGTGAAGTCCATTGTTGGTGTTTACATACACTTGTGTCTGTCCTACAATCAGCTGTCTGTATCACTCCGCCTGGCAGTCTGAGCCAATTACTTCACACAATGGTGAAGAACAAACAGTCCTTTGTTCACAAAACCGGACACCCCTAATGAAAGGATCACAATCAGCATTTAATAGACATGGATGAGGGGAAGAATGAGCTCTGCACCCCGGGGGGTGCTCGTCATGTGGGAACATCACGGTGAGGCCGCTTTAAATTGGGCGGAGTGTCTATACTGGAGAATTCCCATTGATAATGGTTGTACTGGGTGCTCCGTCCATACACAGAGAGAGCAGATACCGGGAACACCAAAAGATGTAAACTGAGCAGCTGCTCACCAGTGCTGAAATATCGAATTTATTGGGCAAGGCTCAACGTCCTGCCAGGCCAGTATACTGAACAAATCGCGTTCTGCCAGGCCAGTATACTGAACAAATGATGTCCTGCCAGGCCAGTACACTGAACAAATGATGTCCTGCCAGGCCAGTACACTGAACAAATCATGTTCTGCCAGGCCAGTACACTGAACAGACTGTCCATCTCTGACAATATACTGAACTTAGAACTCCTGTAAAATAAGATGCTATCATCCCTTCATACAATAGGGAGAGAAAAAGAACTAAATTGCATGTGACCTCCCAAAATACGAGGGGCCCCGTACACGTGACCGTCTATCTGACCTTACACTGGAATGAAATGATCATGTGATCAGATTTATTGATTTACATTACATCCCCCATTATATATATA